TCTGTAAGTAAATGTGTGCATTTATTCTGTCACTGCCACTTGTGCATTCGAAATACTAACAAAATACCGGTCTCCAATGAACAATGTCTTCACTGCTTCTAAACTTCATGTTTGTTACTTATTTTTCAGTGTAGCTTATCTTTCCCAGCAGTGGCGCCAGAAATTTGCCAACACGGAGTCCGACATGTCCAACGGAGAGGTCCCAACCAAGCGGCTGACTACAGCCTCGGTCGACGGCCCAGAATAAAAAAATCCTGGTTGGGTTCATGGGGAGCGTTTTTATGGCTTATGTATGGTCAAATTGTACTTTTAGACCACAATATTAGAGATTTAGCAATCAAAATAACGTTATTTGAATAGGCAAATTATTATTGTTATTATTATTATTATTATCATTATTATTATTATTATTATTATTATTATTATTATTATTATTATTATTATTTTGTATTGTTAACAACAATATAAACCTAGGCATCGTCAGCATAAAAATGTGAGGTCACAGTCGGCTTTGTAAAAACATAAACAGTAGAAAGCTGAAATTTTGCATGTAGGTGCTGTCTGATGTGAAGTTGACCCGGTGGTAATATCTTGCGTTTTTTTAAATAAATAATAAAAGATGTAGGCGATAAAACCAACCAAAAAAATATTTGCTGAACATAATTGCTTGAAGTTATATGCAAAAATATCTCATGAATAAGGCCATTCATGACTCCCGATTATGAGAGTCAGTCACTCTATACTGTTTACTGTGCTTGCGACGTGATACGCCTGGTTATTGTATTAAAAAAAAAAAAAAAAAAAAAAAAAAAAAAAAAAAAACCAGTCAGCTTTGCGGTACACCTTTGATGGGGTGCCGCGGCAGATGCTTGTTGTTTTGCCGTAAACAACTAGAAATGTTAGTATACGATGCCAAGTTTTCCATGCAATACGGTTTGTAGGCATAGAAAACTTTCTTTAAAAACGAGCCTGTTGCCAGCTCGCTGTTTGTTCAGCGGGTATGCAGGCAAGCAGCTAGCATACGTCACAAAAACGTGAGCCTTTTTCCTGTTAAATTTCCGTAAAAAAGTATTACAACTTCAAGAAAAAAAACAAACAATTAAGAATCCTAGTACAGAACTGTAGTGTAATTGCAAATACTAGCCTAGAAACATAGGCCCTTCTTAGTGGGTTGGGCTAGCCTAAGGCTAGACGATTTTCGCCAGGGTTGGCGAACGGGAATTATTAAGGAGGAGATTGATAAATTTAAACAATGGAATAATATTCATTAGTATTGTATTTATGTGATAACTGAAATCCCATTCTTATATGAATGTAATTTCAGTTATCACACAAATACAATACTTGAAATTAGGCAAACCTTATAATTACATAGGCCTAATATTTTTATCCTTAAAACCTGTGAAGGCCCAAACCAAACCTGTCACACCCTATCTAGGCTGTAAAAGTAATGAGGGGTGGAGACTTTTTATTTTTATTTTTGTATTTTACTAAAGCCAAATATTGGCATTGGATTTTTTGGTGGTGCATTGATATTCAAAGCAAACATGATTCAGCTAATACAAACAATGTATAGTAACTATTTACTTAAAAAATGAAACAATTTTTTTTTTTCAAAAATATTTTTTTCAATGCCATGAAAGACATGCGCGAGAGGGTGATAAATTATTTTTTTGTATAGGGCATAATAATATTACCAAAACAAATCTTGCATAATACCCACTTTTAAAACTGCTAACTAAGAGCACTATGCATTAAAAAAATGAAAACTCTATCCAAGACTCATAATTTAAATAAAAAACTCTATCAAATTTAGAGGTGCAACTAGTGCGAAAATAGCGAAGTACGATTATTTTTTTTATAAACACACACACATAGGATAGTCACAACACACTGCCTACCTATGTTTTTTTTTCTAGATCCACACCTGTATAGTAGTTAATACATTGTAATTTATATCATCTAACAATATAAACTGCAGCCCAGCTGGCACAGGTCCGGCGACCTAGTCGTGGCGTCAGACGACAAGGGGTCCAAGCCGATTGTTCTGCCGAAGTTGCTATTAATTATTAAGATATAGGCCTAACATTCTTTCTTTTTTTGCTAATTTCTTGCGCTTGTAGCAACTAGGACGGTTTTTTATTTATTTTTCTTATCACACTCTGTCGGTTATAGTACACTTTTCGGCGATCTAATTTCCAATTACCAGAAATAATGTTTAGGTTTTGATATTGTAATTTTTTCTGGGGACGTTGCAATGAATAACAAGTGAACATATATACATATATAAATATATATATATATATATGTATGTATATATATATATATATATATATATGATGCTTATATCACCCTCTGCAATAATATATGAAAACCAAATGGAATAATCGCAAATATAAAACTTGTTCATGATATCCGTTACCTGTATTGTTTAATGATCTTACACCGTAAACTTGTGGAGTAAAACTATGCGAGTATATTTCCAAGCTTTCCTTTCCTGGGGCTACCGTAAATGCTCGAATAAGCGCCGCGGCGCTTATAACATTTTTGGAGGCATCAGTCTGAGCGGCGCTTATAAAAAATTATTGGCGTGACGCTTTCCATGCTCTTTCCAACGTTACCTTTCTCACGTATCTTCCCTTATCGGTAGATCTAATGATAAGTCCTAGTCATCGTAAATAAACGTTTATAAAGAAATGCTTGTGTCTTCATTGTGTTGTTTATTCATTTTAACACTGTATACACTGTATTTAAAACCCTGTTTCTCAAAGTGTTTCATTATTACACTCTCAATTAAGTGCTGCGGCGCTTATTCGAGAGGGCGCTTAGCATTTAAACATACATGCATTTATAGTTAGAGGATTAGAATTTGGAGCTAGTTGTTTAACTCCCAGATACTATAATTTAGATGGCATTGAAGTTTATGTTGAGGTTGACAATATTAGAGCAATTCCAAAAATGCCATTTTACAAAGAAGTAGCACCATGACCTTCAACAGGAAAAATGTCATTCATAGTTTAACACGAGCTGTGAAATTAGGTGGATTAATTCTTTGTAAAAGTTGACATCAATTGATTAACAAACGACGAGGGTATAAATAAACCTAAACTGTGCACTTTCTTGGAACATTTGGGTCACACAGCAATTGCTGATCAGGACGCGCATACAATCACAAACGCCATTAGAACGGTGATAAATAATTCTTTTTTTCCTCTTTAGAAATAAACAAAAAGATGCATTGAAGGTCGGCTGATGCGTTTGATCTAGGAAATGGGGGAAAGGTTGAGTGACGAGATATTCATTTGAACGCTTGTGACTCAAGTGGATACCACTGTCTAGGTCTGTTACTCATACTACAGTCATAATTCAGCCACGATCGATCAACGGTTAGCCTTCAGGTGTTCATTGATCAGGAATTTGACAAGTTATTCAAGCTTTGTGACGTCTTTATAATTCAACAAGTTTACTGGGTGACTGTGTGCAACTTGTCAAATTGTGTATACTACTTCTGTACAGGGCCGCTATCTACTTCTGTATACATGTCAATTAGAAATTGGTATTAATGCGTCTGAGAGATTTATAACGGAAAGAGAAAGGTACAGTGATTTTACTAATAATGGTATCTGAAGAGGAAGAATTCGAGTCAACTTGGCCCAATGTCAACTAGGCCCTGTATAAATGCAGTTATTTAATTGCTTATATTCATAGTAGATAGGGTCGCCAAGGACCCCGTGCAGCTTTGCTGGCCGGGCCCGTTGCTCGGGGTCTAGGGCCAGAGCCTACGACCTTTTAATTGATTAGAGGACTAATTTAATTGATTATAGTTTTTAATTTTACCATGTCGTGAACATTAAAGTATACAAACATGACAAGTAAACGCTATCTTTCCTTTTATTGAAACATAGAGCTGAACAGATTCATAACAAATCAAATATTAATATAATAATTCAGTATTTATTTGACAAACAAAATGTCCCTGGTAGTTTCATCGTGGAAGAAATATAACTGAATTTTTTTATTTCCCCTGAAAATAGGGACTAGGCCTAATGGAAAATGCACAGTTCTCCGTTCGGTTGTTCTGCTGACAATTACCTATCAGCTCTGCCCCTGTCGGGCCCGGGCCCAGGAGCATTTGCCCCGTCTTCCCCTATGCCTCTCGGCGCCACTGTATACAACATGAGGAATCGTTTTAATTATTACCGTATTGTTTTTATGAATGGGTAACTAATGCTCAAATGAGACACATTTACACGGAACGCATGCGAATACAAACTTACACAGATGCCGGACGCTTTATATCCCCTAGCAAGCATCACGAGTCAAGTTTGTCGCAGTGGGGACCTGGGCTAGTCAGGCCTATCATAGCTGTTGTTGACATTTTCGATCGTCTGTTTTATAAGGTGGTAGACAAGTGTGCAAATATCTGATATAGATTACTTTGGTTTTACATCCAATTATTTAAAAATTCTGACTTAAAATAATAAATATCAATTACACCACAACCATTGTTGCGGCACCTGCCTCCTACCCAGGTAAACATCGTATAGTTATTTATTCTAATGTTGAATCACAATATAGATAGGGCCACCGTGGAGGATAGAACGTCACTCAATTTCCGAGAAATGGGATATAATGTTTTTTTTTGTACATTGTCCTATGTTTTCCGAAAGAGATGTGTTAGTTGGCCCGATGATATTATTTTTGTTATAAACATTGTACATGTTATATATGACGATCTCAGAACAAACGTTCAAATGATATTTTAATTAATATAGATAACATCAGTGAATTTAAACGAAATCAAACAACAGAAATGGGATATCGAGAACGTTATTTTGGTGTTCAAAAATATGAGATTATGATGTGAACATTTAGCTATCCACTTGTACTTTGTTTTAATAATTCCAATTACTTCGCTTTTACAATTGTTTTTCCATGAGTCGATAATAAGCTATTTTGTTTAATTAATGATTCTAAGTATTATTGAGACAGCATTGTACACCTTAACATTTTAAACTATATCCGCATAGTTAAATAGTGGACACTTTCGTCACCCGACCTACAGTCGGTTCCATGGTCAAGTGTACAAAGTGGAAAACAGGAATGCAACTTGTACAACTGTTAAACAGTAAGTATTAATTCAACAAACTTGGAACTTCTGTTACTATTATAACAGGAGCTGAGTACAAAGAAAAACTAAATAAGAACAAGTAATATCTTACCAAGGCTCAGTGTTCATATTTTTGCGAATTTCAGGCTCAAAAATGTTTTGTTTTGTTCTTACATTACACTCTTTTCTCAAAGATGGAAAATTATTATTGTACTGTACAACAGTACCGTCTATTACTACTGTACATAGTCACACCTACACCTAAGGTAAAGATAAGACCAAAATAATTGTAGTCTAAAAGACTCATTTTACATTTTACCTCAACTTCAATTTGTTCTTATTTCGTTATTACTTTTTTAAATTCCAGCCTCGGTGTTCTTATAAAATTTGTTATAAAACAAATTGTAGCTGAGTTTATTTCCAATATGAGACTGTACGGTAGGCATATTGGAACTGAAACACTGTTTCCAAGACATCTGCAAGCTCAAACGTCATGGAAATTCGTTGATTGCCGTTTATTACGCCTGAATGACTTCATAATTTTAATGGTTTAGAATAGGCTTTCTGGAATAGGCATTAAATCCTAATAATTTACCCTCAAAATGTACTAAAGCACAGAAGCTTGCATTATATTAGTTATCAAACACACATTTATTCATCAATTAAAATTTACATAGAAAAACTAAGATACAACATCTTAATAATTACGTTAGAAATTAGGATCAATGGTTTGACAATGGAGAAAATGACGTCCGGTTGAACTCATTTGTGTCGCCAATAGCAACGGAGTAGCATAACGCGGTATCATGACGTAACACTGTAGTACTCTATGGTAGTCGTGGTGGTACGCAGTAAGTTTAGGTCGCCCGCACTGAAAACCGATTGCACCGGTTTAGTGTAGTGGTTGGCCTCCACGCGTCAAAGAGTAATCTAGTGTGAACCACATGTATATCGTGAGAAACGATGTTCAGCTGATGAGGACGATGATGACGATATCCATGAAATATCATAGTAATAATATTTACTATCATGATGATTATTATGAAACTAATGATGGTCTTTGTAAAAATGTTGATGATCTCAATTTATTTCTTGGTTTGATCTGACGCTGTATTTTAGTTGTGGTAGAGGTGTTCAAGAACGTTTTTAGTGATTATTTTATATTTTGTGATCGTAGAATTTTGTTTTTAGCTTTCTGTTCCTTTAACCGCAAAGTGACATAAAATCTTTCCAACAACACCACATTACACTAAAACATCTAAGCACTCTAACAAGTCACAAATGTCGTCCGTCAACATAAAGAAACATTTTCCAACAATCCTTCCACAAACTCTAACCGGTTCTATCTTTGGCAGTAGGCTTGAACCATTAGATCATTGGCGTTGCGCGCTAAACCCTGTCGCTTTACACTGTATAAACGCGTAATCAAATTATAAGATTAATATTTCTAGAGATTTATCTTTGCTCACGTTATTAAATATACTTGTACTAGTCAGCAATTATGGACACAATACTCAAAGCAACTGTTGGTATTCAAATATATTTTCTCAATTACCTCGAAACTAAAAGAGAACATTATTTTTATAGGCTTTAGTTTTCATAAAACACCATTATTTTTTGCTCAAACTTTATAACTTCAGAATTACATTTACTGCTATTAAGAGCAGATTCCAAAATGAATTTAATAAGCAGGGACACAAATGAATTATGCTGTTCAGTAATTATGAACAAAAATAAACCTAGTTTAATAAAGTATAAATGGAGCTCAGCGACCATCAAAACCATAGGCTGGACTGGTCAATGTTTATTTCTAATATAAATACGATAATAAGTATAATGTATTATGATCATCATGATTAATCATAACATTAGTATTAATCCTAAAAATAAAAGGCCTACATAATATTATAAATATAATAATACAACATTTAATAATAGTAATGAAATTAAGAAGAATAATAACATATAAACATGTTAGTGATAACACTTAACTTTATCTAAAAAATTATAAAAACAAAAAATAATATCAATAATCAAGACAATCATAAGCATGAAAACATAATCATAATTATAATCAAACTCGAAAATAATCGTAAACATGTTCATAATCTATAATAATAAACGTCATAGTAAGGTGTCTTCGACACTAACACTTAATCGTTAAGTACTGACAAAGTTACTGGCACTGCAATCCGACAATTGTCAGAGGGTTCGGCATACTTACACCATTGGCACGTTGAATTATTTTCTATGGATAGGCCTGTACCGTATTTATTCGAATAAACGCTCCGGGCCATTATTGTTGAGAAGAATTTATGATGGGGCGTTAATACGAGGAAGGCGTATATTCGAGGGTATAACATGGATACGTATACGTAGACCTACCCAAATAAACCGCCCTTAATTGCACTGTATATGTGGAACTACAACACATAATTACTGTCAAAATGTGTCATACAGATTTATGGACCCCCCCCCCCCCACCAAAATAAAACAAAAAAAAAACGTAATTTTTACTGGAGTAAAACATTAAAAGAATTTGTTTAGAATTATTTTGCGCCCATTAGTTTTGTTTACAGTCATTAAAGAGAGAAGGTGAGGGAAATTTATTTGAGGAGAAAATAAACGCCCGATGCCTTTTTTCGAGGGAGGCTTTGGAGGGGTCTTTTACTGAAGAGGGCGTTTATTCAAATGGGGGGATTTTTTTTCAAATAAATACTGTATTTAAATTCTTTGATATTATGTGGTGTTATTACGTATTAGAACCGCGTTCTATAATGGGAAGGCGTTTAGAGGGGGGGTGGGGGTACACCGGTACAGTAGTACAGTATAGTAAATATTTTGTAATAATACTCTGTTGGCTTGGATGATACAAATTCACAAATAATATGTTTGCTGAATAATCAAATTAATAATAACTAATTATAATTTATACAATTAGTTTTACATAGTGGATATCACAATAATATAGTATATTATAATATTACATGTGATAATAAAATGTTTAATAACATTAATAAATAGCATAGTGATAATTAATCTTAATAATACTAATTTTGTCATCATATTTACAAATCATAGTATTATTATAACTTTTCATTAATTATAACAATTGTTATTATATTCATTATAAATGTTGTTATTTTATCATCATCATTTTAAACTTATACATATTATGTCCGTGTTACGTGTTTAAAAGCTGGGCTGAAATCATAAAATATATGGCAACACGAAAATATTTATTATACCTTAAATTAAAATACTATTAGAACGTAAAATGTTATGCCTTGTGACATTACAAAGGTTTGTTCAAAACGTTGCTATCAACATGGAAATGGCCTATATACACATTCACAATTCTTCAGTATACAGTAATTGGCCTATAACATTATTGCCAATAATTTTATCAGCCTCGTCGAAATATCTAATCTAATTTCTCTTAAAACTCAGTTAAATTCTACACACACAATACACCATGATAAATACAACATCACACTTCCTAATAAATAAAAATAAATTATTATTGTGTATTAAATGTGTTTTTCTAATTAGGAATTGATTATATTATCGGTCGAAGCGCCCTCTATCATGAACATTTGCAATCCAAAGCAATTAGATTCTCAAGAATCATTACTTCAACTGCGGTCTCTGACTTCCGCATTATCACTGGGAGATCGTCAAATCTGGTTGGCACACAGCAAGGACCGTTAACTAGGGGATACTTAGAATGCACGTAATGCTTAAATAATGTATGCATATCATTCATTTGAATATTATTATCAGCGCATGCGCCGCTGCAATAAAACATGTTAACCGATTTCGGACGGAGAACTAAGCTACCAATTTCTATTTTCTTAAAATCTATAGTATAATTTTTACGACAGCAACCAACTTGGTTTTTTGAACACATTCCATTGTAATTGCCATTTTCCATTTTTGTGTCCCTGGTTGATCTAACTCGCTTTTGCAATTCTACTGTTATTACGGGATAATGTTCAGCTCCTTGTGGTATATCGTTTGAATTGTTTCTCCTCAGTATCCATCGTCGACTGTACATATTTAAAAAGTTGTTTAGAGGTTCTCCAGTTGTTGTGCCAATTTCAATTCCGAAGTTCAGTCTTGGAAATTTCAGCCAATCGTCGACCAGATCGGTCACATCGATAGATATCTCTTGCCAGGTGTTTGTGTTCAGAGACACTGTTCGTGACTTTACGTGGCCACGAGTAAGACTGGTGTTAAAGAACTCAAAGACATTTATTTCTATCGAATCTGCACTAACACTAGAGACTGGCTTTATGAAAAACGTCAGAGTAGCCTTTTTGGTTCTGTATTTTCTTTTTCTGCCACGTGCTTCTGCAAAATGAGAGCCAAAATAGAGCCGTTCAGTGGATCCATCTGTTCTCCATAATCGTTTAGACGGAAGCATCGATGGAGAATGCCCTGTAAAGAAATGAACCAAGATATATTAAAATGTCATTGTAGTAATAAAAGAAGTTGACTTTAAACCACAGCTTAACTATAATAATAGTTTTATTGTTATTAATAATTATTATTATCATTATCACTATTAGTTACTTGTCTTATGCTTTTTCACATTGTTGTATTCAGCTATACAATTTCCCCGTAGTGGGATGAATAAAGTATCCTTGTATCCTTGTTAATATGCTGGCTTTATAGTCAGAGATATCAAAGCGCGTGGGAAGACAATAATATAGGGTCAAGTTGATTCGTGTTCATTATCTTGTTGCTCGTTTTAGTTTATCGAGCAAATGTCTTGAGGCCCGTACCTGCCTCCGATGACCTATAACCGACTATGAGATAAAGGGGAAGGAGAAAAGTTAGCATATTAATCCTTTACTGTGATACCACCTTCCTGAAAATTGGGTACATACTGCGATCCATCAGGGATTCAATCACAACTTTGTTCCATATAATTTTAATGTATTAACAATTTCTGATATTACAAAAGAAAAAAAAATCCAACTAATATACACATGTAAAATTGTAAAAGTAATATTAAATTGAGGATGATGAGGTTATTTTGTATTTTACTATTTTTGTGTTTACTATTTAGATGCACCAGTTTACATAGAGGAATGAAGGGATATACACCGATATTTTGAATATTTTTTTTACAAAATTTCCGTAATTAAGAAACCTTACAGTGCAACTAATGACTCTAATGTCAACGATTTTAGGAGGTCTCAAATGCAAAGAAAATAAAAAATAATAAGACTATTGTAGGCCTATATCTTTAGTTTACATACTATTTTATATGAAAGGAAACTGTAATTTTTCATCATATCTTATAAAGTAATATAATAAGCATCTGTATAAAATAATTATCAATTATTTTTTTTCACAATTGGCTTACTTCAAAATGAAGAATTCTGTTTCAATTATAATTGTAAATAGCGCAGGCGTGACGTACAGACAACAAAAACCTTGATGACGACAAAAAAATATAACAATAGGTATGTATAATTGTATTGACGCATTTTAACTGGATTAAGATTTTTTTTTTTCATTCAGTTAATTGAAATAGACCTTGAATCGTCAAAAAGAAAATTTTTTGTAACAATGATTTAATAACTTGAAAATAGAATACTGAAATTCTCCATGTTTACCCGGCCTCATCGTATGTATTTTTACTTTATTTTTGTACCGGTAATTGGTGGGTGTGTGCGTGTGTGTGTTTTTCCAAAAGCCTTCATTATAATGTGCTTAGATGTTATTCTTATAGGTGATTGTTTGTCGATGATTATGCAGTAACCCTATCAAACAGATCAAAGTCTCCTAGCAATAATATAATAACTATAATGACATTATGGAATTACGTCATTGAAAGATTAAAATACCGTGTCTAATCAATTCACGGGTTACAATTCAGAACAGTTTCTAATTTTGGACTTTCGGAATTTAAATATAGATTGTTCTGTTTGGACTTATTGCAAGGAATCTATTTTAGCTTATGGGTCTTGGAAAAGTGGCACAATTTATGAAAGGATAGATAGCTGTTTCGTATTGTGATTTGCGGATAAAAAATTGCTTTCTAATGGACTGGAAATTAAAACAAGTAGAAACACAACCAAAAAATCTGGAAAATCAGACAGACCATGTGGCAGTATACTCATAATGTTCTATGTTATAATTTTATGTTTGTTTGCAACTTTAATCAACCTAGTATTCACACATGTGACTTTTTAAACCTAGACAATCTAAGTTTACATAACTAGGAATGTAACACCATGGCACAACTGTATAAATATAACGGAAACGATAACAGGTTGATAAGATTATCAAACAGAATGACAGGCCATTTAAACGATGACTACGCTAACTTTGATCGTTTATCATACACACACCCCACACCCACCCTCCACACACACAAACACACACATTTGATAAGCAACAGCTAAACTATTATGACAATGTGTTTGAAAAATTAATGAGGCTTCAATACAAAGGAAGCGGATGATAATTATTATTATTTATATATACCGTATATATATAATTATATATATATATATATTTATTTATATATAGTTAGTTTATTATGTACTCAGCACCCATTCCACGTATTGCTGAAGCACATTTATGCAGATGATGTACAATTGTACACTACAATACATGTTCGCATTCCAATATAAGTCTTGCACTTGAAAAGTTCATCACATGCATTTAACACCTAAAATCATGAGCTAATTCGAATCGTCTCTTCCTAAATGAGAATAAAACTCAGTTCATTCACTTCGCCTCACCTTTTAATAAAACGTGTCATATTCAAACTGTACCCAGTGGCGTAACTAGGTTGTGAGGGGCCTTGGTTCAAGTGCACATTCGAGGACATTGACGCATGCAAATTGACTAACCAGGTCAACTAGGATGTGTACCACCGATGGGTTACTTTAGGAGCAGGGTCCCTCCGATTTCATTTACTATTTTGACTATAAGTCTTTCTCGTTGTTCTTAAATTTTAAATTTTTAGATGTACTCAGAGGGCATCTTTGAAGCTGAACTGACAATAATAATAAGCATTTCCACTTTTTATGACCAAAAGAAAAAGCACATTCGATATTTATTTTTTTAGGTTTTTCATTTATATGATTAACCATTGAAAAATTTCAACAATTATCTTGTATATTTAAAAGTTTTATATAGACTACTTAAGCTAAATAAAATGAAATGGGTCACACATGACATCATTAGACTTATGTATGACCATAATCAAGTAAAACACTCGATAAGCATGGTAGTCAAACACTTTTTAATGAATATCGTGCACTTAAAAAAAATGCAAGAGTAAAATTCGAAAATCTAAATCAGATTATTTTGTTCAGTTGAAAACAAAGTAAACATGAACCCAAACGTTTGTAGGATGAAATGAAAAACATATAAAGGAAAACAAAAATTCAAAAAATATTCATCCGTATTGATTGTGAACATTTTAGCGATTGTTTAGTAATAAGGCCTATAAGAACTTAAAATTCTAAACTCAATTAAAGAAGACAAAACAGAATGAATAAAAAAAAGTTGAGTTCACACAGTTTAAGTTTTACCTTATTTGTATCTGGCGATACTGAATATAATCTGATATGTTTCTTTGAAAATAGTAACCTTGACGTTTCGATACTAGGTTACTAAGAATTGCATCACGCTATATCGCAAAATGTCTATGTTTCATTATAAATAAATCATTAATGAATGGTACGGTTCCAAACGTGGAAAGTCTCAATGACTACCCAGGGGCGGATCCAGAGATGTCCAAAAGGGAGGGGGCCGAAAGGGGGGGGGGCGAAATTTTTGTGTTCTAGACGCCCGAAAAACATTTGAGGCGTTGTTGGAGTAATTTAGCTCAATGTTATCATTGTTATTATGATTGTATCTATATTATTATTTTACTGTTATTTTATTGTTATATGCATTCTGTCTGTTGGCTTATATTTTTTTTGTGTACAGCGTAATAGGGACAATGTGCAATATGTGATATATGAATATAACATTATTATTATTATTATTATTATTATTATTTATTATTATTATTACTAATTATTATTATTATTATTATTATAGTTATTTTATATATATATATATATATATATATATATATCGTATAATACGTAGGTTTATATGCTATGCATTATTTGGAAGTAGCCGTGTTTAGTCGTATATATCAGAAAATAAAATAATTCTCTAGACTTACTTTATAAAAAATGCATTTCGCTATAGCTTTGACTCGGATTAATACTAAGATTATACTGTAATGTAATGTAATGCACTGTATATGGCAATACCTCGTTGATATCCTAGTAGTCAGCCGTTTACGAGCGCCAGTGTAGAATAAAATTAACGAAGATGTTGCTTCCGTCGAGGCCAGCTCAAATGATTGGCTACTTAGTGTGTGTTATTTTCCACGGTTTCGTTGTGTATTTTTCGCAATTTTGTCAAATTATGTGAAATTATTCAGGATTATTCAGGATATTCAAGATTATGGCAAAATTTACATCTGTTTGAACAGATTCCTATTCATAAATGTTCATGAACTCTACATTAGCTTTTGTGAAGATCACGTTATACATACATATATATATATATATATATATTTATATATATATAGGCATATATACATATATACCTACATATATATAATATATACTGTATGGAGTTTTCTTATATATATATATATATATATATATATGTATATATATATATATATATATATATATATTAAAAGGAAAATATATACTGTAATACAACAATTAAATGCTTTTGGAAACAATGGCTGGACCTCAAATTTTTTTCATTAGGAGGATAAAGAATGAGGCATTAGAACAAACGGTCTCGCTGTCTTACATTCGTGAGGAGGTGGCTGTCACTCATATATATATAGTTAGACTGTTTACCAAAATACAAGGTAAATAATAAAGATTACCATGTTTGAAAACTGCAAGAGTGGGAACAGTATGTACATAGTAAACACTGTAGTAAATCAAATTATTTATCAATGAAACCTACGTGGTTCGATAGTGTAATTGTGCACACAGTCTAATCGTTGTGCACGATTGTCTAAACTTTTTCTTCAACAGACGCATTTATTTATTATTTTTTATATATACATTGATACGATACAAATCATACACAGTTGACGTATTATATATATATA